TGTTCCATAGTTGATTATGTGAGCGTAATCCAAAGGCACATCACTTTGTGTTACAGTGTTGGTGTTCTCCCATTGCGTTTTCTTCCTTCTTCTCTACCATTGTACAGAGCATTATCAACCATTCTGATTCTTGAATACCTAACCACTTTATTAGTTAACTAAGAATTATATATACACACAGAAAAACATCACCTATTTATATTGAAGAAAACCAAAGGGGGGAGAATAATACTCCTCCACTCCATTTTTCCTCTCCATCCTTCCGCTGTCGAAACACCCCCGCTGAGTTATCGAGAAAACAATTTCACTTCGGACTTCTCCGATGAGACTCACTGTAGCGGTCCAACGATCGGATTACTAAATATCCCAGAGATAAAAGTTTTATATTGAAAAGTAGCCCTTGACCAAGGGCAGTGCGAAGATATAAAAGCAAGATGCAAGTACCTCAGAAATCGGAGAACATAAAAATCCGACAATCTTTCAACCATTTTTTGAAAACTGGGTGGGAGCTTTTTTTTTTTAAACTTGTTCTTGTTTATTAAAAAGAAAAAATAGTTGTATTTAACTTCAACAAACAAACGCAGCTATGCTTGCAGACAAGTCTATGTTGCATAGTGCATAAAACGCTCAACCAAAAACCTAGCAAAATACATGCTTTTTAATACATGTTATATGATTACTACAAAATTAAGAAAAAAAAAAGAAGAAAAATGGACTAATGGATACGTGCATGTCAGTATGCAGTCATATGAGATTAAAAGAAGTAGGGAAGGGGGAATAGTTTGCGTTCCGGACTGGAGTGCAGGGAAATCAAGACAAAATATGTTTATCAGTCGTGCATAACAAACCGCTCTGTTTCAGCAACAAAGTTAATGACACCTTTGAATACGATCTTAATTCCTTCAGGAGATAAAGAATTTTGCAAAAGTAGAGTTTTCAAGTCAAAATTCAAATGAGGCAGATCCAGCTGAAATATCGAGATTAGAGCTAATCGCGCGGTGTCATATAAGGGACATTCAAAAAAATAGTGAAAAAGGCTTTCGTCTGTTACATTGTCGCATGAGCAAAAAGGGTCAGAAACAAGACCACGAAGATACAGGTCCCTCCTCAATTGAGAAAATCCAACTCGACACCGACAATAATCAATGTCGGCATGTCTGTTGCTAGTGTACGGTAACTTTGGAATTTCTCTCAGCGATAATAAACTTTTCTTAAACTTTGGTATCCGAAATATCAGCCGTGTTTCCACTGGTAATTCATTGTATTCTCTAGCTGTTCGATATATCACTGAGTCGTACAACATATTCAAACGACAACGCGGAGTTGGAAGTAGCATCTTCTCGCGACTTCGTAGTGAGTATGAAAAAACAGTAGGAGGATCTGGACGTGATGGCAGCAGAGTTTTTAAGAAAGAAGGTGTTTTCCCGTAACTATTTTTTGAAATAAAACTAACCTGTGTCGCTTGAAAACAACTCGTAACGGCTCCCATCCTAAATCTCTAAACACTCGCGCCTTAGAACTGTGCATCATAGCGCCTGACACCGCTCTTGCAGCTTTGTATTGTGCTGCCTCAAGTCGATCAAGATTTCTGTCAGATGTGTTTCCATATATCGCTGACGCGTAAGTGAACAAGTTTAAAACAAATGACTTGTACACTAGATCTAATGCCTGTCTAGATAACGCACGTGTATGAAGCTTTAGAAGACCAGTTAAACGACTTCCTTTATTTAAAACATAATCTACGTGCGCTGTCTAGTCTAGATTTGACCTTAAAATTAAGCCTAACTGTTTTTGTTCAACAACATAAGAGATAGGCGACTTATTGATCAAGACGGGTGGTAGCGAAGCGAGAGTATCGCGTTCACGAATAGAAAAAATCATAGCTTTACATTTATCAATATTTAAGTACAATTTCCAAGTTATAGACCATTCATAAATTAAGAGTAAATCTTTATTTACTTGGTCTATAACTTTTCTAATATCATTTTTCTCTGTAACGCGGTAGAGTGAGGCATCGTCAGCAAACAATCGCATTGTGGCACTAACATTATCACCAAGATTATCAATAAAAATCAAGAACAGTAGCGGTCTCAAGACCGAGCCTTGGGGCACTCTTCTATCAACAATTCTTGCTGACGATGTAATACCGTCTACCGTGGTCACAATTTCTCTATTTGAGAGATAGCTTCCAAACCAATTCACTAAGGACGGTGGTAATCCTTTTGCTTTTAACTTTACTAGTAAACCCTTATGCCAAACGGTGTCAAATGCCTTACGAAAATCTAGAAAAACACTTAAGACTCGTTCACTATTATCAAAAGCTAATAAGATCTCATGAACTATGGCGATCAATTGATTAATAGTAGAATCACCATGCCTAAATCCTGACTGGTTCGTACTTAGAAGGTTGTAATTTGTTAAATATCCATACACTTTCCGATGAATCAAACGCTCAAGTATTTTTGACAAAACAGGCAGTAAGGTTATAGGACGATAATTATTCACTTCATGAGGATCGCCTGACTTAAAAATCGATGTAATATAGCCAAGTTTCCAAGTTTTAGAAAACTGTTCCTGTTCTAGAGATTGATTAAATAAATAGGTTATCATCGGAGTTATGACAGGCGCAGCTTCTCTAACTATTCTCGCTGACAGACCAGGCGCACTAGCTCTACTACAATCAATTCTACACAGTAATCCAACACTCTCAAAAATATGAAATTTCGTCATCGAGAATTTGCTGGATGTTGGAACAACTAACGGCACATCATTAACCTCGTTAAGTGGCATTGAGCAAACCATTGCGAAATATTTGTTTAGCGGCTCAGCCTTTTTTCCCGGATCTATCATTAGTTCTTTTGAAGAGCTGTCAAAAAGAGGTGGAATGGAAATATTGTTGATTTTATTTAATGTGTTTTTAACTTGACGCCACCAGAGTTTGGATGACGAATTCATCTCAGCTGATAACTTCAGATAATATTCTTTTTTTGCGGCTTTACACGCTTTCTCAAAATCATGTGAAGCTCTTCTCGAATTGGCCGCCGAACTTGTCGTCTTAAATCTACAATCGATTTTATAAAGCTCATATTTTTTCTTTAGTAGTTCTCGTAAATTCTCATTAAACCAAGGGCGATCATTAGATTTAACCACAATAATTTTATGCGGTACCACAAAGTCAGCTATCCATAAGATCATTTTTTCAACTAGCAGAACACTATTATCTAATCCTCCATCCTCAACTAGCTCATACCAATCCAATTCGGCTAATTTATCACGAAAAACATCCCAATTTGCTCTTCTATAATCGTAGATCTTTCTACTATATTGCGTGACAGGCAGTTGAGCTATATTGATACTGAATTTAACTACATTATGATCGCATATACAACATAATTCAGGCAAAACTTCTATTTTCTCAACTAAATTTAAATTATCAAGAAAAAATTAAATCTAAACCAGTAGATGATTTCGGACGAGTGGGTTTTTCAACAATTTGAAAAAGCTGTACGTCGTTAGCAAACTCATAGAGCTTTTTTCCTTCGAGAGTAGAAGCCTTCGTAGGGCACCATTCATAACAATGTGCATTAAAATCTCCTAGGAAGACCAAATCAGTATTTTTATAACAATTATTGCTTCTAATTTCAGTTAAAACAGTGTCTAGGTGTACAATAAAATCTCCTATATCAATCCAATCAGGTCGATAACAAGCTGACAACAAAATAGTTTTTGATTTAGAGAACTGAATAGAACAGAAGAGTGTTTCAAAATCTACATTATCGAACTCAGCTAAGTGTTTACACGATAGATTATTCCTTACATAAATTAAGATGCCACCACCTTTTTTCCCTAACCTATAAATGAAAAAGAATTGAAAATAACGATAAATGTATCAATTATCTTCGTCCTTTATTATAATTGATAGGACCGAAAAAATTCTTCGCGCCGTCAAAAATAGTGTGTGGGTTTGAGTAAAAATTTATACAACGAAACTACAAGACTGATTTGAAGAACTATAAAATACAATTTGTGGAAATGTATAGATGAACTGGCCTTAGCCATTTTCCAAATATTTGTTACAAAAGAATTGAAAATCAAGCTCATAGCTACAAAGTGATGGAGAATTTCACCTCCCATCAGAAAATATAACTTGCCTTAAAATGAATCTCTCGATTCTGTTGTATATTTATAAAACGACTGAAACCATCGTCTCCAGAAAAATATGTTATGAATGAAAAAAAGAGTTCGGAACGAAACAATCAATTAGCGAATAAAAAAATGAAATCATATGAGCATGAAAACTCTAAGTAATTTTGTCTTTCAGAAACACACTCAATGAGAGATTATCGTCAGTTAACCGTGCACGTTCTTTACGACCCAAAAACGCTGATAATGAGAAGGCACTTTCACTCGGCACTGATGTTGCCGGCGTACTCAAAAGCTTTTTAGCCAATTTTCCTAATAGAGGAAAGCAGTGATTATATTTTCCCCAAAATACTGTTGCAGATAATTCGTCTGGTTTGTGTTTGAGATTAAATTTCGTTACCGTTTGTCGATAATTCCGAACTTCATCAATAATCGTAGCTCTTTGGCTGATATCAGAAACATTTCCTTCATGAATATAATCGCCGATTGATTCATGGAAAGCATCCATTGCAGATCGCTTTGACTTGTTGACTAGCGTTGGTGTAGTTGCCACAGTACTGTCACTGAGTGATGAACGTGGTGTTGATCGAGTTGTACGCGAAATATCATCGGCAACCATTGTTTTCATATCTTGTTCGATCGACCGTTTGTCTTTATCACTCAATACTGAAAAGCCGGCAGGGTCCAGATATGAATGCATCTGAACACAGAAACAAAAATGCTTATGTGAGCACTGATTACATACATAGAGACAATATTTCATGTTTCTATCGCTCACTTACTTTTAATAAATTCAACTGTTCATGATCAGTTTCAAAATAATATAAGAATTTTGTTAATAATAATTGTTTTAATCGTTTCACAATAGAATGTTTTTTTCTTGTTTCACTTTGAAGAAAATTTTTTAGACGCATAAGTAAGTAATAAGTAAAACCGATCGACGGATAACGACGAGTAGACATTGCCTTGGTCGCATGAAAAAACGGTTGGAGCACGAAATGGAGCTTCGACAACATTGTCCAATCGTCACTTGTCAATTCCAAGCCGGTTAACTTTGTAATTTGCTCCGGCTTAATAGTCAAGTGGTACTTAGAACTGAATAATCGTTCGATGACTTTGTGAAGAGTAAGGAAGCTGTCAACCAAACAAAATGTGCTATTCCAACGAGTTCTAACATCATTGCATAAATTCCGTTTAATGTGACACTTCTTTCTTTCGGTATTGTAGTAGGCAGTCAGAATAGTAGAACGTTTGATCATTGATATCAAACCACGACACTTGTTAATAATGTTATAAATCATTTCTTGGTCAGGAACAGTATGTGCACTCGAATCGTTATTATCATCGATCCAATTGTCTACTATTTCAT